TAAAGTCTGAAATCAAGGGCAAGGAGGGCAAGTTGGCTTCTGAAAGCCTTTCTAGACCATTGTTGCACAATCATATCAGACGGGGCCTTCTTTTTTGTTCAGTGTTTGTGTTGTAGAAACGTTGCCTCTTCCTGGCACATGAAATTCTGTAGCTGGGGTGGGTATGTGAAGCCTTCCCACCTTCCTCTAATGCAGCTATCACGATTTCAACATGGGGCATGGTTATGCAGCTGTCAAGAGTGCCTGGTACAGTTCCACTGAAGAGGCTTCATGGGAATTACTCTCCATCCTTGGGCTGTGCCATTTCAGGACTTTGTAGTCTTTTAGGAGCTGAGTGTTATCCCATTGCAGCACAAGCAGTGGGGGAAAACTAGAGTCCTACTTGCTACCCTGACCTGGATAGCCCAGATTTTGTCAGATTTTGGAAACTAAGCAGGGTTGGCCCTGGATATTATTTGGAAGGGAGAACACCAAGGAATACCAGGGTTGTGACCAATGTTCCCTCTACGCTGTGGAGTCTTGTGAGCAAACAATCTACTTTGTGAGCTCCTGGCAGTAAAATTGTGAGCGAGCAATTTGGCAACTGCACGAATCAGTTTGCTCTGGAGCCATCCTTCCTGAGCTGAGACAAAAATATGTGAGCCAGGGGCTAAAAAACTGTGAGCTAGCTCACACTAACTCAGCTTAGAGGGAACCAGAGGTCATTTCGGGGGGGATCGCAGTTCCCCCGGGTGAGGTACGGGGGGCGGGGCACATGACGAAGCCCCACCCCCTGCTTCCGGCCACCCCACTTTCGGCCCTCATTCAGTCAGGAGGAGGCAGGAGAAGAAGGAGGGTAAGTTGCTTCCTCCCTGCCTCTCCCCACCCCTGCCTGCCTGGGGCCAGGGAGGACCTTCGCGGGGCTTCCTTGCACTCCCGCCGGCCTTGCAGGTCCACCGCCGGGCCCCTCATGGGGCTCGGCAGTGGAGCTGCAAGGCTGGCGGCGGTGGCCGGGACCGTTGGGGGCGGGGTGTGTGGCCTTATGACACACTTCCAGTGATGTCAGGGGGTGTGGCCTTATGACACTCTTCCGGTGATGTCAGGGGGTGTGGCATATGCTAATGAGTTATGCTAATGAGTTCCCCTAGCCCTTTTTCTATGAAAAGACCCCTGGAGGGAACACTGGTTGTAACACAGAGGCAGGCCATGGCAAACCACCTCTGAATTTCTCTTGCCTTGAAAACCCTGCAGGGCTGCCATCAGTCAGCTGTGCCTCGATGGCACTTTCCTCCAGCAGCACCACTATCTGCAGCCGGTTAGTGAAGAGGGCAGATGACCAAACCAAAGGAAGGAGCCCTAAATGCAACATCTACCATATAGGGGTCGAGATATACAGTACTAGTACGTTCTCAAGATTTAAAAAAAGTGTTTATGACCTTTTCTCTTTTTTAAAAAAAGTAGCACATTTAATCACCCAGCCACAAGGCCATTCCCACCTTACATGGATGGGACATTGTGTTACGTGGCCTTGGACCAGCACCACACATAACATTCAGGTTTACGGTATCAACTGGGAAGGGACTTCATTTGCAAGAGACAAAGCTTAAGAGTGCCACGTTAGAAAACAAGGAACAAAAGAATCAGGGTATACTTTACCATCTGTGTGTGAGCTTCTTTTCACGGGGAAGTGGCATAGAAATGATGTCCAGAAAGTTAAAACAAACTTTTTATAACGAGGGCACCATTGAAGTAAAATTAACTTCCCAGGTTTGCCTCTTGTTTCTATTGAATACTTGATCGGAAAGGGCTGAGTGAAAGCGAGAGATGGTGCACATGATGCTTTAGTGGACTGGGAGAACTCAGAGATGCATTGCTTTCCACCCTGTAAGAACAGGGCAGGGGGCCCACAGAGAGGCATTGTCAGGACATGGGAGCCACAGGAATGAGGTTGCTGTCCGACTCCGATTCATGTTATGGATGCGACTTTACTTTTTTATGGGAGAAATGAAGGTAGGTAAGAAATGCAGGTCTGGGGCACAACACTGGTGATCCCAGTGGGAACACTGAAGGCCCCACTTCTGGGCTTTTAATTTCTCCCACAGAACCCTATGGAGTCATGCAGTTCAGTGTGAGCATCTCTTTTCCCTGGGGGCGCCATCAGAAGAGCATTAAAATCTGTCTCTGTCACAGACATTTGGGACTCTAGGTACTTACTGTCATGGAAGAAAGCGAAAACAAAAACAAAACCCAGACTAGCTTTCAAAACGGACCACCCCTGCTGCAGGCATTGTCGTCTCCAGTTAGTGGTGGGAACAGGATTTTGCTCTCGCTTGATAGTTGGGTACCTTCATGTCACTAGGCAGGAATGTGTAGGGATGTGTGTCTGAGAAACTGTTGGTCAGTGATGCTGCTAACCGAGTCTTTGGGATTCAGCCTATTCTGGATGAATTTAGGGTTAGGAGCAGGAGTTTTGGATTGAGGATTACAATTTTAAATTCTTTCTGGGAGACCAAACTGCATCTCTTCGTCTGCAATGTCTCTAACCAGCTTCAGCTTGTCTCCCAGCTGCTGCTTTACCTTGAAGAGAAAGATTTGGCCACAGCAGTCCATATCCCTTTAACCACACAGGATAGGTTACTGTCCCATGGTATTTGTGGGGCTGCCTTTGAAGATGTAGACACTTAAATTGATTGAAGACATGGCAGGCAGTAGACCAACAGGCGCTAAGGATTGTTCACTTCAGGGAAAGTTTCTGATCCATGTGCAGGGCAGAAAACTGGGTCCTCAGTCACAAATGAAAGAGCTGTTATTTCAGAATGCCTTCCATTTTTATCCCACCTTCTCCAGCGCACCAAGTATAGACCATAGTCAAACATGAGCAACAAAATAAACCACTCCAGATGGAACTCTGCAAAAGAAGGCAATTGATAGAGGCTTCCACTTCATTTTCTCCAAAGAAAAATCTACAAGCTTTTCTACAGTGCAGCTCAATGTGGCTCAGCTTTTTTGCAAGATTGATTCACAGGACTTGTGCTACCTTCAGATTGCCCCATCTGCTCTTAAAATGTTGCCAAACGATATGAATTATCATGTTGTTAAAGAGCGGTGGCTTATCCTGTCTCCAGATGTTGTGCCCCCCCTGCTGGCTGTCAGCAGTTCTGCTTACATTCCACCCTCAGCCTCTCTCGCCTTTGAATCTCATCAAGGTGGCACAGAACCATGCAAATACACAACACAACCCTTCCACCTCAAAGCCATCACCTGGGAGGCAGGCAGATCACAAACTTGGTTTTTCCTCTCATCACACTGTACAGATAATTGCCTTTGCTTTTGATTGACGAGGTTCAGAGGACACACAAAATATTTGGACCAACGAGGCTGCTTTGGAAACACCCTCAACCATGATCAAACCATTTCCTCCCAGGAGTCAAGCTGTCAATAAACCCATTCTGTGAGTTTGAAGCAGAAACCAGCTGTGCAGAGTCCTGACTGGCTGGGACCCTGTGATGTCACCAAGGAACCTCCCCAATACCCAGAACAGTTTTGCATTAAAAAAAAACACCACGCCTTTTATATTCACCATCAGGACCTTCAGCTGAGGAAAAAAATTTCATGTCAGTAATTTCAGTTGGGTTTCATTCTGCAGTTGAGCGGTTACTTGTGGATTTTCTTTTAACATCACTTGTGTCTTCACCTTTCTTAATGGCAGAACAACTCATTTTGCACCTTTTAAACCCAGCTGCTGCTTTAGCGGGGTAAGTCAGGCCAGGAGGGTGCCCAGCCAGAAGATTTGCTTGGCCTATGAGAGCCCCCCCCCCAAGCTCTTTTTCTGAGAACAGCATCAGAAACATATCATCATTGGTGCAATCTTCAGGGCTCAGAAAAGTGACACCGCTACCTCCACCGGGTTATTTTAAGTGCTGATCGGGCCATCCAATGTCAGGGTTGGTGTACGATTCCCCTCCCCCCTCCCGTGACATACTTATAGGGTTGCCAACTGGACAGGAGAAAAATGTCCTGCTCCTTTAATAGAGGCTCAATGTGTGGAAAAGGGCATTATAGCAATTTATGGCATGGAGATAAATCTACTATTCGCTGCCAATCAAACTGATATTAAAGGGACAGCTGGAGTTTAAAAGTTGGCAGTCCTAGGACCTGAGGTGTCTCCATACCAACAATGATTTCTTTTAGTCAAACAAGAATGTGATATGACATTATATAATTAGTCAAACAGAAAGAATGATATAAACTCCAAAAACAAAAGTGTCTCACCTCTGCATAACCAAGGAAGAACAAAAGGAGCAGCATCCCTTCTTAATGAGATCTTCCACAGGTCATTTTCCTCATGATCTTTTGGCAGGAGTTGTTGTGGGTCTACAAATTATTGTGAAATGCCGTTTGCCTTATAATGGAATACTTTATCTGGCTGCCTATAAAGCCTACATGGAACAGTGGCGTGTAACTGGTATCTCCTTCACTGTAATATCTGATGCCCCTTTTTATTTTTAGCAGCAGATTAAATGCTGCTTCTGAGCTGCAAGATCGGGGTTAGAAAGGACAGACAGTAGCGCAGATTTAGGGCAGAAATGAATCACACAGCACATCCCTCTGAATTAACACAGGGCGAGGAGATCTTTCAGGAGGGGATAGAAAGTTGGCAATCAAAGAAGATCCTTGGCTGTGTGTTTTGAGTGACAGTTGCTTCTCAGGTCAGGAAATAGCTATCCTGAGCCAACCTAGGTAAGTTGAAAAACTGCCTTTTAATAAAGAGAAAGGACAGCTTGGAAGGGGCGCGTTAGAGGGCAACCTCCTCTTGAGCATCGCCTGTCCACAGTGCAGCTGGAATTTTCAGGGAATTGCCGTCACAATGATAATTTGCAAAAACAGATGTTACACATCAGATAAACACTCCAACTGTATTTTTTTAACTCTGACAGAGGGATGTGTGCAGCGATAAACATACAGATCGATGTACACACTTATACATGAATGAGATATGCTAATTAAACATTGCAGTGGGCACTTTATTAAAGATGCATTGTACAATCTGAATCTTCAAAAACAAAATCACATCGACACATGCTTAAAAAATGGCCAAACGGTGTGTTTGAATCTGCTTTAGTTTTGTTAATTGGATTATTATTTATGTCTTCACAACTTGGTTGCTACACCGTTCACCCCCTGAGTCCAAGGAGGTAAGGCGGGATAGAAACATTTTACACAAATAAACAAAGGCAACTGCTTAACTGCTGGAATTGTGCTTTGTTCTTTTAAAGCTCAGGTTTTGTTATTTGGATGCAAAGCACCCCTCCCCTTCTTAAAGCAAACCAGGCAGTAACGTTAAAACCTGTGTCCCCACCACCACCACCACCTTTGGAACCATTCGGATGGCTGTTTGTTCGTCAACCTTGAGAGAAATAAAACAAGTGTCTCTGCTTTCCTTTTGTCGGGTAGATGGCACCATGTAGCATATTTCCCATGCTAGTTTGAATTACAGCTGTTTATCTTGCAGTTTTCTTTAAGATTAATTAAATGCAAATGTAGTTCTGTGAATCATGGGAATACCTGCCAGACCCCTTATTAATACCTTCACTTAAAAACCCCTGTGCCACAGAGTCATTAATTTGCAAAAGGAGGGGGGAGGGAGAAGGAGAGAGGGAGGAAGAAAGGAAATGTGCATAAACAGCCCTTTAGTTCCAAGCCATTCATACGGGGCTTGCCCAATTAGTCCAGGAGGATTCTGGTCCTCCTTTCAGACCCTGTGGCCCACAGAGGACACAGTGAGGCTCCAACGATAACCTGGCAACCTAGGTAGAAAGCCAGCCAAAAAGGCGAGTGTTTGAAGCTGTAATCTTGGCTGCCATCACGTCAGCAGAAAAGAAAGAATTCAGGCACCAAGTAATCCAGTACAAAGGATAAAAACAGATTCAACCGGAAATTCAATGTGGCACCACATATGGGATACATGAGCGCAGTTATACAACAGGCCACATATCCCCCCCCCTCCCCGAACAGTCTCCTCCATGTGATGCCGAGGACATGTGTAACCATCGTAACGTCTCTCAGAATCTGTATTTAATTTGAGTCAGGGTGGTGGCAGGGATTGGAGATCTGAAGCCGCCACAGGTTTGTGGCAGATGGCTCTGTGTCAGCTATGACAAGCAGCCGAGCTGAGCTTCCTCTGCAGATTTTCTTTTCTCTCTGATCAGGTAAATATGGGCACACTCTGGAAAGTTCCACAGAGTCTGCCTTGGGCTGCAAGTTTGTGACTTAGCCCCAGCTGTCACAAATCTTCCTTGGGTTCTGTTGTGAGCAAAGACCTGAATTTACCACGGAGCGCTGCCCAAGAAAACTGAGCCATCTCTCCCTGTGAGAGGAAAAGGGGGGGGGGGAAGACAACATGAACATAATCATCAAGGGAGAATTATTCTTTTTTTAAAAAAAGCGAAAGCAAGCTATTCCACGTCACATGCTTGATTAATATATAGAAGTACAATTTTCTCCTTTGGAGGTTTATCCTGAAATCGCTTGGATAGTATAAATACTGCTGTAAAACCAGGATCAGAAAATCCTGCCCTCTGATTGGATCAAGGTATTAGAGGCTCAATCCCAGGTTAAAATGTCTTTTGTAAACAAGGGCTTTCTGCTTCAAACAGCTTACCTGACATCAGGCAGGCTGGGCTGCTGCTCTTAGAGGCGTCTACCTGAGACTGGGAAAGCTTTTAAGAACATGCCTGATTATTTCATTACCTTGTCTCCCTCCATCCCTTTGCGAGAGAGGGGGAGAGAGAGAGAGAGAGAGATTTCCACTCCTGCAGACAAACAGCCACAGGCAAAGCACTGCTCAAGTTAACAGCAGGACATGTGCAAACATTTTGCTTTAAAATATGACACTGTCATGAGGTTTAACACAACTTTATTTGGACTCTCTTAAAAATACGCATCATTAAATAATTATGGGAAGCTGAAAAGAGGCCAGACGCAGAAAGACACGTTCCACTCACTAAGTGAAGGTTCACATCTGACCCTGGGGTAGCAAAGAGAGATTCCTTACTGATGTTTGTGCAGTGATCTATGTTGGTGGCTCTTGACTTTAAAACAAAAAGAAGCAAAAACAAAAAAACAAAACCCAACCCAACATTCAAGGAATTTGGTTTTGCTTTGTGGATCCACCTATCAGTTCCTTTTAATATTCTGGAAGTAACCTCCCCTTAGGAATGCCAGATGTCCCTGCTCTTATTTCATTACACAATATAGATCAATAACACACAAAAGGACCCTGTATACTTCATTCCTAGCCTACAGTACGCATGCACACATTAACAGCAGTCAGCTGCCCTACCACAGCCCAATGTCTGTGCAGTCCTGGAACTGCTGGTGTATGTAAAACTACAGTGACCCATTGCATTACTAGATAAACACCCATTCTACCAAAAAACATTGCCTTTTAAACAGGCAGATTCTGTAAGCATTGTAAACACATGTCTATAGAACTGGGGGGGGGGGAGACAGAGGAGAGGGTGAGCAAATGCTTACACTTGTTAGTCTCTTCCATCTCTATTATTTTGTGATCCTCCCCTCCCCACCGCTGCCCCAAATGCAAAGTTGGCCTCCTAATTCAACACCCCCTCCCCAATAGTGACTTAGAGCTTTTTAGGCACATTGGCTTGTCTGCCACTTGGGGTCTTTTTCCAGGAATCTTATCCCCTCCCCCACCAACTGCCTGTCTTCTGGGCTATTCCCCTGATCCTCTTTAAACTCCTTCTCACCCCGCTTCCCTTTCCTGATCTAGTGAATACATCCTGGCAAGAAGGTTCATGATCCTGGCTCTATCAGGCCTGTGCAATGTGGCTGCTTTGCGCCCGGGGACAGGCAATGCTGGTGGTCACTGTTATGCCAACAACATGGATGGAGTGACTGCATTCTCACACAACATAACCAGTTGGGATCTCATGCAAAAAGCCAGGTCCTGATGGCACATGCCAAAGGCCACATATGTTACACAAGTCTGCTTGTCTGCACGGATATCCAGAGGCAGGGCCAAAGAGTCTGACCCTTTTCCACCCTACATGCATAGAGTGCTTTTTACTGCCTAAAAGAGACCAGGGACAGGGAAGAGTCAGTGGCAATGCAATGTAAGTATCTGGGAAGTGACAGCCAGTCAGAGACACAGCAGCACAAATCCAAACAGCCCGGATGAAGAGGAAAAGAGCAGAAAGTGGAAGGTCTGTTTGCATGACCTCCTACTCTTGGTGTTGTGATGAACAGTTGCATCGATATGACCTACTGATGCAAAAAGATTCTACCTGGAGAGATTTTACCCTCTAAGTGTGTCTTCAGCTATGCAACTAAATCCTCTCATCTGGGGAGGAAAAGTCAGACAACATAGGAATCCTTGGGGGGGGGGGGACTGCTTAATGCAGACTGGCTGCATTTAAATAGTAAGAAAGAGGTCACCAGTGCCTTATGCAATCTAGCTTTAATGTCCCTTTTATAAAATTAAATGATTATCCCTTTAAAAACTATTTTCTTCCTTCCTCCCCCTCCTGCCATGTTCCAATGGGCTCAATAGATTCCACTCTTACCCTATTCCCTGTGTGCTCAGATGCCCTTTCTTGGACATTTCTAACTCATCAGCCAGTTATAATTCCCTCCCTAAAGAATTCTGGAAGCTTGTATTCCCAGTGTAGTTCTGTAATAGAAAGTTTGATGCCCTTGCTTTTATATTGAAGGTTCCGCTACTCACTAAGGCAACATTTCATCCTACTGCACCTTTGAGTGTACTTTATGCACCGCCAAACCTTCTCTTTTCATTCTGGTCCCTCTGGGCTAGAACAAGAAGCACACAGGAGAATTTTAAAGCTGACCTGCTTAAAGGCAATCCTCCAACTGCACACAACCAACCCGGCTCGACACAGTCCATTCTTCCAAATGCCCAGTTAGCCGTACAAAGAATTGGAATGTGGCACAATTGCACTCCACAGTATTCCGGTGGTTTTCTAGCCAGCATTATAAATTGGCAATGGATGTAGCCACAGGATGATGATGACAATCAGGGGCGTGTGTTCGGATCTATCTGAGCCAAAAATATACCTAAAAATACCTTATCAGTATTTTTGGGGTACATTTCAGCATCCCAAATGTATCCGAGTTTCCCCACAAAACTGGGGGGGAAATCCCTGAAAAAATCCTGGATATATTTGGGAACTACTGGGTAGATCCAAAAACAGCAGAGAGGCAGGAACAGATTGCTCCTGGCTCTCAGCTGTTTGTTGGGTTTCTACTGCAGTCCCTTTAAAATTTAAAGGGACTGCAGAAGACAGCCCAAGAATTAGCTGTGCCGGCAGGGAACTGAAAGCTCCCCGCTGGCTCAGCTTGGGTCTGGCTTCTTGTAAAGCCTGGTTTAAACCAGGCTGCATGAGAAGCCAGCCCAGGATCAGTCGTGCCCATGGGGAGCAGACTGCTCCCCCCTAGCACAGCTTCTGGTGTGCAACCCCCACCCTTTTTCTTCTCAGGTCTATTGGACCCCCAAAATTTGGGTTTTCCTCAAAATCCCTGATCTGAATACTGCAGCAGTATTGGGATCTGGGGTTTTTCGGGAAACCTGACATTTGTTTCCAGTTCAATAGACACAAACTGAAACAAACAAACAAACAAAACAGTGAAAAAATTGCGTAGCCCTAATGACAACTGCTGTTATTAGAACAGTCACATGGATGCCTTTATTCACTGGACTGAAAAAAGTGATTACCCCATTTGCAGAGCTTTCTCTTCTATGTAATCTCTGCTACATGCAAACGGGGATGTATAAGGGGGGTCACAAGTACTGGGTTAGCTCCAATCCTGTGCACTGTATTATTCCCAGTAACTAACCTCCTTCCATATACTCCCATATATACCTGACTGGACATTACATTCAGAGTTTCAAATCCGCTTGCCTTCTGATGTAAAGTGGGCCACCATGAAAGACCCGCCCTTTTGGTGATGGCACCCGACCTATGGAATATACTCTGCCTCTCCCTATATCCAGTGTTGCTGTTGGCCATCTTCTGGTGCAAACGAAGGTTTAGTAGGATTTGAATTGTGAGGGGATCCCATTTATATTAATTAACACCTCCAGTGTTGTCTTATTGCTTTATAGGATTGGTCCCACCCCCATTTTTGGTGTAGCGGTTTGGTATAGTGGTTAGATGCATGGACTCTAATCTGGGAGAACCAGGTTTGATTCCCCACTCCTCCGCTTGCTGCTGCTGGATGACCTTGGGCAAGCCATAGTTCTGTCAGAGCTGTTCTCTCACCAGCAGTTCTCTCAGAGCTCTCTCAGCCCCACTTATCTCACATGGTGTTTGTTGTGGGGAGGGGAAGGGAAAGGAGTTTGTAAGCCACTCTGAGACTCCGAGTGAAGGGCGGGGTATAAATCCAAAATAATAATCCTTCTCCTCTTCCTCCCCCTCCCCCCTCCTCTTCTTCTTCTGTTGCTAGTTTGTTGGAGAATGGTTTTAGACTTGGGTTACGATTTTTTACTGTTTAGATATTGTATTTATTTACCACGTTATGGATGATATCATGAAAATCTTATCATGCCAACAGTGCTCTTCAGTTCTCTACATAGGACAAACAGATCAAACCCTATGCCAAAGGATAAATGGACACAAATCTGACATCAAGAATCACAAAACCAAGAAACCTGTAAGAGAACACTTCAACCTCCCAGGACACTCAAGGGGGACCTCAAAGTAGCTGTTTTATTGCAAAGGAACTTCAGAAACAGACTGGAATGGGAGACTGCTGAATTATAAATTATTGCAACACTCAGGACAATGGAACCCTAGGTCTTAACAGAGATAGCAGCTTCTTATCTCACTACACATGCTAAGTCACTCAGTTCTCACTTATACCCAGAAATCAAACTTTGTTGCTCTTAGAGGTGCCACTGGACTCAAACTTAGTTCTCACATCTGTTAAGAGGAAGAAGAAGAGATTGGATTTATACCCCGGCCTTCACTACCCAAAGGAGTCTCAGAGTGGCTTACAAACTCCTTTCCCTTCCCCTCCCCACAACAGACACTTTCTGAGGTAGGTGGGGCTGAGAGACCTGTGACAGAACTGACTGGCCCAAGGTTACCCAGCAGGCCTCAAGGGGAGGAGTAGGGAATCAAACCCAGTTCTTCAGATCAGAGTCTGTGCCTCTTAATCACTACACCATGCTGGCGTGGGGGAAAGGCCAGAGTGCAAATCTACTGCTCACTGAAGGTGTTTCACCAACTGTTGGGCTGTGCAATGACCTTATACAAATCCAATGAGCAGGGTTTTATTTATTTAGAAACATCTTGACTCTAATTAACTCTTCCTGGCTACTAACCCCTC